CTGCTTTTCTTCAGCAGGGACAGGGAAGATGGTTAAAACTGATGGGAAGATGGATYGAGCCAAATACAGGACCATTCTGGAAYAAAACCTGTTGGAGTCWGCCAAAGACCTGAGACTGGGACAGAGATTTATCCTCCAACAAGACAATGATCCAAAACATAAAYCAAAATCTACAATGGAATGGTTCACAGATAAACYTATCCAGGTGTTAYAATGGCCAAGTCWAAGTCCAGACCTSAATCCAATCYAGAATCTGTGGAAAGAGCTGAAAACCGCTGTTCACAAACGCTCTCCATCCAACCTCACTGAACTCAAGTTGTTTTGCAAGAAAGAATGGGCAAGAATTTCAGTCCCTCCATGTGCAAAACTGACAGACAAACCCCAAGCCACTTGCAGCTGTAAGCAAAAGGTGGCGCTAAAAAGTATTAACGCAAGGGGGTCGATTAATTTAGCACGCTCAGTTTTTCTGTTTTCTATTTGTTAAAAAGTTTCAAATATCTATAAATTTCATTCCACTTAATGATTGTGTCCCACTTGTTGATTCTACACAAAAAAAATCTTTATGTTTGAAACGTAAAATGTGGCAAAAAGTTGAAAAGTTCAAGGCGGCCGAATACGTTTGCAAGGCACTGTACTGTAGCTAAATTATTAAAAAGTAAAGAGTGCAGGCAGACAAAAATAGGTCAAGTTTGCTGAAATAAATTTCAGAGAACAAATTTTCTGAAGGATTTTTATTGGGGGGAAAAATTACATACTATTACTATTAATTTTACTAGTAAACGCTACCAAAAACAAAAGTTACAGCACAATATTCCCAATGTAGTTGAATTGAACTGAATATTTTGGTGTTTGATAATGATTAAAATAGCACAGGGTGTGTGGAAGTTTGTCCAGAAAACGTAAAGGAGAAATTGAACCTCATGCTCTTATTGGGGATTACTGACTTTTCTCACTGCCTTTAATTTTAATTTAATTATGATTCAGATCTTCATTTATCTGTCCTTAAACACTACATCACTTTACTCCAGTGCTGAAATTTGAAAACGTGTACGACACATCAGGTCACGATGAGTTGAGCCTTTCTTCAGCATTGCACTAAAGTGCGGTTTTATAAAGACAGATGAAAAGAGCTGCCGAAAAAAGGGGTTGTCTGTTCTGGTCGTGAAGGACCAGAATGATGATTAAGAGATGAAGCAGCTTCACAGAGGGACCTTTAGTTTCAGTCTATTAGTAATCAACTGTCAGAGAGCAGTGGAAAACAGRAAGCTCCATTTATTTAGCAGAAACAGTCAGTCTCTTTGCATTTGTTACTCTGGTTGAAGAAGAAAAAAGCAACATAATAAATAAAAGATAAGAAAATAAAAAGCAACCTCCGCTGRACTGGTGGTAAAGTAAGCAATGCTGTGATTCCTCAAAGATGTACAATACCTGAACTGTGAAACGGCAGTTTGAGAAGCCAAAGGCTTGTAGGTAAATGCAACCAAATGACAAAGAAGCTGTGATTTGGTTGACAAATCTTCACTGCAATGTGAACGTCGATAACAAAGTCTTCTAATGAGACTTTTTGATTTGGGTCACAGGAGTAGGAAGTGTTTTCTTTTCTCTCCGGGGCTTCCAGAGGTAAAATGTTTAGAGACGGTGCAGCTCTGAGCAGCATGTGTGGTGTTCTGATAGACGTCAGCAGGAAGGACAGCTCATTTTTCAGCTGTGGGAGCACTTCTTTACAGCATCAACAGCTTTTTTTCTCTTTCTCCCCTCCCTCGGTATTTATSCTGAATCATTTTGACTGCTTAGGCATGAGATGAGAACTGGGCAGCAGTGAACTGATATTTTATTCACCATTATTCCACAAACTTTTAATTAAAAAAWGTCAAGAAATTTTAACACATTGTAGATGAAAGTACATGTTGGGGATTACTCTCAGCTAATATCACATCAAAATCAGAGGTGTCACAGTACAAATACTTTATTACTTTACTTATGCAGAAATTTTAGTTATCTGTACATAACTGAAGTACATTTTTTAACTGACTTCTTACTTCTACTCCTTATATTTTCGCACAATTATCTGTACTTTCTACTTCTTACATTTCAAATATGTAAGGACTTTTTTTTTTGGCTTGCCATTGATCAAAAAAGGAACCTATCCAGATGGTGTCTCCTGGAGAGAGTGGATTAAATTGTGGTTGGATGAGAAGTATAAATATACACCATTCTGACAGCCTATTGGTTTGTATGATTCATCACACCTGAACATGAAGCAGGACATATCAGACGTATGTATGAACATGACTGTGACAGAGATTTATATGCATGAAACAAYAAGCCTAGTCCATCCCAAATTGATCAACATTAACATTTTAATATAACATTAAGTCATTGTGTCCTTTTAGAAAAAAAGGTTTTATTTTGGGAGTTTGGGTTGTGCACTGTAGATCTCTGTGGTGCAGCCTAAGCTTTGGTCCTTAATGGCTTTTTTTTGCTTACATTACGTATCCTTTTCTACTTAAAGTAGTTTTAAAGTGCCTGTGACATCAAATTTTTGTAATAAATATGAAAGTATTTTTGGAAAAATAACATTGACAACATGCTTTAAAAAGGTTTCACGTCGCTGAGATGAACAGCTGTTGAGATATTTGCATGTGAAGTGACAGGAAGTGATGTCAAAGGGAATGTCTGAATATAAAAAGAGTTTTGCTAAAATGGCTAACAATTGTTACAGAGAAGAATCTGATGTTTCTTTAGGTAATTTTAATCACTATCATAGAAAGATGAGGAAGAGTCATTGTTCAAATAATATTGTTTCAATAAACAAAAAAACAGGAAGTTTTCTTTCTCAAAGAGTTCCCCTTTGATGTCACTTCCTGTTTCACTTTAGTTGAGCCAAATTAAAAAAGTTATGCCAGTTATGTGACATAATGGGTAAAATCATGTGTACTGTGCCAAGTTTCTTAAATACAAATATATTTTCTTTGACTTTTTGTATTTCATGTATATGCATGTCACAGTCACTTTAAAACCTGTACTTTTTARTTGAGTAAAACACTTGAGTTAATACTTCATCTTTGACAGAAGTCCTTTTTAAACCCTTTATATACTTTGATTTGAGTAATGAATGTGAAGACGTTTGTGCTCAAGATTTGTGAATCTGACAAAAGGATAAAGTCAATCAGCTGTGGTGGCCATCTTGAATTGGATTGGCCTTCATAATTATTAAGTTGACGCACATCCAATGATTACTTTAAGTTTCAGTATTTTGCTAACAGGCAGGGTTGACTCTAAAGCCTGTTTAAAGGTCTATCTAATGATTTCTGAAGATGTTAGTAAAATCTGTGCATTAAAATTGACCACTTTTAGACACAGGGTTGAAACAAAAACTGTAGTTATTTTCCCTTTCACTTCCCTAGGATTTATGTCCATTATGTTCAGAAAGTTTCTGTTTTCATGTTTTAAAACCCTTTTTTATCATTAAAAACACAACTTAGAACCATGACGCACATATAATAAGTTTCCATGTTGTTTCATGTGATTAAAAATAGCTCAAAGTGCATGCTTTCATGTAAAGTAACYACCTCACTTGATTGGCTCAGTTTTAATTTTGTAGCTAAAGAGGCCTGCAGCTGCAGATCGGTGCGTGCAGCAGAGATCACACCTTTCCTTCCAGCAGGAAAGAGATGGCTGTCTAAGCACATGGCTTCCTGCTCCCCCTATATTAAACCCAACAGCTCTTTTCCTGCCAGACCGTTTCCTGAGTTAATGGAGCGTTGCTGGCCTTTTACAATGGACGTGTGCAGCTGTTGGTCTCATGCAGCCTCTGGTGCTTTCATCTGCTTGATTTATAAAATACTACATTTTTGGCAATAAGTCCTCTTTTCATCATCGGTTTGTGTTGTTTATAAACAACTCATTTGCTCAGCTCCCCCGCTCTCCATCTCACCGTCCCGCTGTGTTTAGCCTCCATAGGGAGGGAGGGTGGATTTAGCTTCACTTCCTGCACAACAGGAAACAGGGATCTGCATGAGAGAGATGGGAAGGGCTCAGAGGAGTTGATGGACGAGCTTGTTTTCTCTACATTGTCTCTGCTTTCCTCGACAGGTGCAGGGCAGCTTTTAGTCAGATGAAAAAAAGTCACTTTTTTTTTCTTAAAGCTGTGACGTTAATAGGGGGTCAAAGGGGGTTTGCACAAAATTACATCCTTTAAAGTTCCTCTGTGTTGAACTGAAAATGGAGAAGCACTATAATTGCTGCTGCTACTTGAGGGGGTTTCAGAACTTTAAAAGGAACATGTACTGAGCCCAGCCACTAAACGAATGGCTTGAACTGATTGATAATCAAAATCCTAACTCTCAAAGCTGGTTCAGATTACCTCTGTGGGAAATTCTGCTCTGTTCGCTTTAAAAACACTTGGTGACATCACATTTTCCCACTCAGCTAGGGCAGCAATACTGAGACGTTTATTCAAAAATGTAAATCCTAATTTTTTTTGTTTTGTTTTCAACAAGTTTTAACACTTCACCTTTTTAC